TGGGCTACAGAGTGAGATCCAGGACAGGCACCAAAACTACACAGAGAAACCCTATCTCCAAACAAACAAACAAACAATGAGCAGGGCATGGAGACACAAGCTTTTACCCAATATTTGAGAGGCAGAGGCAGGCAGGGGGATCTCTGTGAGTTCAAGGACAGCCTGGTCTACACAGAGAGATTCTGTCTCAAAACAAATAACAATAAAAACAGTAACACATTTAGAAACTGAATACAGACTCACAGCCTTTACTTAAACACCCAGGGCTGTCATCTGGATTCTTGGATTTTAGGAGTAATGGCTGCACTCCCTTTTAAGAGTGCCCACTTGTTGGTTTGTTGATGTTTTTATTTCGTCTTTTTTTTTTTTTTCCAGAGCTGAGGACCAAACCCAGGACCTTGCACTTGCTAGGCAAGCGCTCTACCATTGAGCTAAATCCCCAACCTGATGTTTTTAGATGTCTACATTGGTTTAGCTCACATTTGTCACACAATGAATCCTCTCCTACCACCACACAAAAGTCAAGGAAAAGAATGAAAAAGAAATTGTTCTAGACTTTTGGACTTTAGAACTAAGGAGAAGGGGTTTTGGGCCCTGAAGTATGCTCATCAGCAGGACTAGCCTCAGCAGAAGCCTGTCGTTAGCCCTCAGCTCTCCAAGTTAAACAGTAAGGAGATTCAATAGGTCTGAACTGTGATTGTTCACATAATGAAAACAAAAGTAGCTATTGATTTAATCCTGTTACATGGTGTTGATCTTAGAAATCATTGGATTCATGCTAGGATTTGGGGTTTAATCCTGTATGGATCAGACTTTCTCATCTTATTTATCCTAAGTCCTTTGTAATCTTATTAATTATGCCAGGCTATTTTCACAAAGTGCTAGTGCGTGCATGCATGTGTGTGTGTGTGTGTGTGTGTGTGTGTGTGTGTGTGTGTGTGTGCGCGCGTACATGCATATGTATGTGTGTGTATGTGTGTGTGTATGCACACAAGCGTGCATGCATTTGTATGTGTGTGTGTGTGTGTACACAACTATTTTTCTAAGATAGCCATGTCCCTCTTTCTGTCTTTGAAAGAGAACTTGAACTTTGTCATGAAGAGCTACAGAGCTCTTCACAGGTCTCCAGATTAACACCACTGTTGTAAGCATGACGTCACTTCTATATTCATATACCTAAGATTAAAGTAGGTCTTGGCGGGCTTCTGGAGAGGGCCTCTAGTCTTGGATTTCCTGAGAAGGCATGTGGCACTCTGCTGAAGGGTGTGTGTGTGTGTGTGTGTGTGTGTGTGTGTTTAGAGACTCTTAGAATTTCTTAGAAATATTAGTTGAATTAATTATAATTGTGATACTATTCTCCTGTGGTGGAACAGAAAACCAGATTTTTGTGTTTTGTTTTTATCTTTATACTGAAATTATGCAGTGTGTGTTAGGAAACAAAAATACACATTTAATCCTGTATTTTGTGTTCACTTTTGTAATTCACTTCTTAACTGAATGGGACCTTATGCTCGCTAGTTCATTCTTTCCTCCCCCGCCCCCCCAAAGATAATCATTATTTGGTCATCCCAACAATCAAAACAAGAAATTTTAGGTAGCTATCAATTATTATTTGAGGGTAGGAATTTTTATAATTGGATCAGCAGTGTTATGATTGATGCAAGAACTACTTCGTGTGCAAAATAGAGAGGTCTTCCCCCCCCCCCCCCCCCCCCCGTTGTTCGCATTCTAGTTACAGAGTGTGCCAGTGGTTGTTTTTAACTAGCATGTCCACATTAATAGTTTGTTGTTTTTATTGGTGGGGGGAGGCTGCCATAGCACCTGTGTGGAAATCAGAGAACCATGTGTAAGAGATGACTTACACTTTCCACCATGTGGACCCTGGGGATCCACCTCTGGGCTGGTTTGGTGGCAGACGCCTTCACCCACAGAGCCTTCTTGCTGCCCCGATATGCAGTTTCTAGCAGGAGTGTTTAGTGCAGAGTCTATGGGTTGTTGTAAAAAAGTGTTTTGATGTTGTAGGTGGAAAACCTCTAGAAGATATTCTGAACCCTTACCTGACTTAAGGGTTAAGAACATCTTACGGTAATCTTATGACTTAAGATTTCCATATATACAATGTATGCCATAGCAAACTGTTGTGGTTTGAAGTGAAATAAAACTGGGGAGGGAGCTTTATTGATTTTTTTCAATAAATTGAGGTGTCTCCCCCTCCCCTCCTTTTTAAGACAGCATTTCATTAAGTATCTGTCCTTTATCTTGTGGTTCACCCAAGAGTTAGAGTTACAGGCTGGGCCTACAGTGTCTTTAGGCATGTACGTATGAATGTTACTTTACTTACTTATTTAAAAGGAAATTAAGATAATTTCTTTACCAGAAGGCGGGCTGAATCTTTAGTGAATTCCCTAATGCTGACATTATGGTCTTGAAAAGTAGAAAGAAAAATCTAATTATATAAAGGAGAAAAACATAGGGCTAAAGGACCTACCTTAGGTATAGAGTAATTGTACAGGAAGGGGAAGGGGCTTTAGTTTCTAATCCTCTTTGGGGGAAGCTTCGTATCAGGCCTGCACAGAAACATTCAGTGGAGCAGCTCCTTTATCATAAAGGGAATTTTAATTTAAAAATGTTCTTGCATCATGAGCAGAGTAAGCGACAGACAGCTACACTGGGCATTTATCTCCTTCAAACCACATTACCAGTAATTGCTGCATTAAATCAAAGTCAGAAGAGATCACAGGTCTGAATAGAGCAAGGAGCCGGTGCCAACCCAGGGATTCCCACACTGCTTCGTGTTGTTAGAGCCCCACCCCTTCCTCAGCGGGGATGAGAGTCAGGGGAGCTGCCCTGATGTACACTGTGCATATACACTGTAGGGTGCAAGGGGATCAACACAGTCCGGAAAGAGAGGCAGCCACACATCCAAGACCCCACAGTCTCACTATCTGGGGTGACTAGCTATCATCTGTCTGCCCCTATCTATCCTATCTATCCTATCTATCCATCTATCTATCTGTCTGTCTACCTACCTACCTACCCACCTACCTATGGAACTACTAGATAAATAAGAGGTAGGCATAAAAATCATATTTTCCCCTAAACTCATGTATAGATAATATTCCCTCCTGCCTAAATTGTCAGAGATGATGCTGAGGATCCTCACTATTTTCTGGGCTTGTTTGTGCACTGACTGATTTAATGAAATGCTATTGTTACCTTCTTCTTTCAGAGGGAGAATTTGAAGCAGAGATATTAAATAACTCCCAAGTCATACAGCTGTAGAGCCTGGCTGCTAAGATTTGACTCCAGCTAGTCTGGCTTCAGAGCCATCTCCAGCACACACTCTGTTGTGTAGGCCATCCCGGGATTCTGCTGAGTGTAGGTGACACTTGAAGAACAAAGGTCAACTATATAGTCCCTCTCTCCCCAGAGTTGGAGTGACAGAAGGATGTGGACAACAAACTGAAAAGGCCGTGTGCAAGTGTGATCGAGGAGTCTGCCAGCAGCCTAGCCTAGGCAGTTAGTCATTTCCAGAGCAGCTTGTCCTTCCCCTCTGCTTACATTTCAGACCTGATTTCCACTATATCCTTCATCTCTTCCCCTAGGACAGGTTGAGGCTTTCCTCATTTCCCTTGGCCAACCCTCCCTCCCTCCCCTTAAAGCAGATAACTAACTCCTAAAACCTCTCTGCAATGAGGGGGTGGGAACTGAGTCTTTGATTGGCAATTCTGCTGAGGTGTAATTAATACACAAGAAGTGGTACACACTGAAGTCACAGTTTGTTATGTTTTGACATGTACACACTGATGAAGTTGTCATCACAAATGAGATCATTATCAGATTGAAGATCTCCAGATTCTTCATGTCCTGATGCCTCCCCTGTCCCAGCACACTAACAAGTGATTTGCTTTCCACCATTGTAGATAAGTTTGCACTTTTAGCATTTGACAAAAATGAAATAATACAGTAAAAAGTTCTATGCCTGGGGTTTCTTGTATCATTATTTTGAAGTTCATCTTGTGTGCACTAAAGGCTTTTTTGTTGCTGTGTTACAAGTGTTCACTTGTGACTCTGGCGGTATGTCAAGCATTATCTCCTAACAGGTGTTTGGGTTGTTTGTACAGTAGGGTTCAGGGACAGGTGGTTATATGGATATAGGTTCTCATTTCTCTTGGGTAAATATTAATACTAGCAGAGTAGACTGGGTAGGCTATATGAAAGATATATGTGTGATATTTTAGGAAGTTGCTAAGTACTGAATCTAGATCAGTTGTACAATTTTCTTATGTATTTTGGCTTAAAGCCCTTGATCAAAAACATGCTTTATAAATGGTATCTCTAATGTGTGACTTACTGTCTTCTCCTCACAGTGTTCATTGGTGAGGAAAAGTTTTCAGTGAAGTCTGATTTGTTGGTTTGTTCTTTTCTGGCTTGTTTTTAGTCTGTTTGGTGCTAGGGATCAGACCAAGGGCGTTGACTATGCTAACCATGCACGTCACCACTGGGCAACACCCATAGGTAATCATAGCTCAGAAATCTTGCTTAATCTAAGCAATTTATTAATCTAAGGAATTTTATTCCTGAAGTTTGTAGTATCCTGTTTTGTGTTTTAAGCCTGTGGTCTAATTTTCTCTATGGTACAAGGGTGTACATTGGTTCATTTTTACCATGTGTGGCTGTGCAGATAGCCAGTTTCAATTGTTCTGATACTGTTTGTTGGAAAGACTATTCTCTCTGTGTATTGCCTTTGTACTTCTGGATGTGTTTCTGATTTTTCTGTCAGTCTCCCCTACCCCACCCCCAACATCAGTACACTTATTTTTTTATTAAAAATTTTTTAAAATTCATTTTCCATACCAATCAAAGATCCCCCTCTTCCCTCCTCCCGTCCCTCCAGCCTCCCCTATCCCAACCCACCCCCTATTCCCTCCTACTAGAAGGTAAGGCCCCCCATGGGGAGGTACATTTAGTAGAAGCAAGGTCCAAGCCCCTCCCCTTACCTCAAGGCAGTGCAAGGTGTCCCATCACAGGTAGTGGGCTCCAAAAAACCTGCTCATGCACCAGGGATGGATCCAGATCCTTCTGCCAGGGGGCTCTGTACACTCATTCTTGTAGGGATGAGTATTATGGAGTCTAGTAGACTTGAGGAAAGTGATCAATATCACAATGTTTAGCGGGAAGATAATCACAATCATAGAACATGAATAGCACAAGGAAGTGGGAGAATAGCTGTGCATGGACTCTGTTCTAGGATGTTAAGTCAGCTCCAACTGGTCTGTGTCTTCATTGTAATCTCATTCAAAATCCCAGACAAATTTTTATAGAAAAAAAACCTATTGTTTTTTGACAAACCTATTATAAAATTACTATGGAAATGCCAAGGACCTAGAATAGTTCTAACAGCTTTGAAGGGAAGAAGGGCTTATTTTAGCTTGTGGGTTCAGAGATTTCAATCTATAACTATTGGCTCCATTGTTTTTGGCCTGTGGTGAGGTAGAATATCATGGTAGGGTGTCAATGGGAAAGAAAACAAAGCAGCCCACCTTGTGGGGGATTGGGAGGTAGGTGAGGTGCAGGGATAAGATGCAGTCCCCGAGGATACACTCCACTGATCTGTTTCCTCCAAACTGCACTGGTACACAGTACCATCCCATTCCAAAAGGGAGGACAAGACAGTAGCAAAAGGATGAACCTTAAATCCTGTAGCCTCTTTCTGGCACCGTGGGCATGTGCTTTTGTGATATAAGATCAGAGGCGGGTAACCCTGTCCCTTTGGCATTGCTACCTTCCAGACCCTTCTCTTGGGCTGGCTGCTCCTACCTGCCTGCTCCTTTCTTTGGCAGAGGTTTCATGTTCCTAGTCATCTTTTATCTCCTGTGGTCTCTATTACATCTTCCCCTTTTCTGTCACAGCTTCACATACCATTCTTTTAGGGACTGCCCATGGGGATACCAACACTGTTACACATTTAATGGCCTCCTAGGCTTTCTTCTGTAATCTTGGTAGAGGCCTTTATGGTCCCATAACTCTTTCAGCATACCTGCAAAACGAATATCACACACATGATAGCAAAGTTCCTACCAGCTTGACTCGTAGTTAGAACCCCCAGAATCAAAATGCTGAGATTTCTGAGTGCCTAGATGTCTGAATTGGGGAAACATTTCCTAAGTGGTCCTGTGTAAACAAGGGACCATCATGGCTCTCTTCTCAAGGGAAAGTCATTCAAAATACATACATGTTTATACCCTTGAGGTGCATGGGGTCTAGCCAATTTCTGAGGTACCTCTGAGGCATCTTTTCTGTTGTTGTGGTGCCAGATTTATTTTCCATCTCCTCAGCAGCCATAATTTCTGAGGCCTTAACTTTATGCAGCCTCTTTTTTTGTTGTTGTTGTTGTTCAAATCACAAGCTTTAAAAATCCTTGTGCTCTGCTTTTTGCCCCAGATTCTTACTATATAAACCTAGCTAAAAACAGTTAGCAATAATCATGCAATAGACTACTTGGAAATTTTTTTCTACCAGATTAGTTTATAGCCTTTAAACAAGCCTTCTACAAAGTCTCAGGACACAGACAAAATGTAGATAGTTTTTCTTTGATAAAATAACATGAGTGGTCTCTAGTCCAGTTCCCAGAGAGTTGGTGTACCCATCCAAAATCACATGGATATCATCTTTCCTGACCATATTTCTGTGGCATCTTGGTCTTCTGGCCTCCTACTACCCAGAGCTGTACAGTAAGCTTGGTTTATATTCTAGGCTCTCTCTAGCCTACTTCTTTGTTTTCTTTGATTTTAATTTTATATGTATGAGTGCTTTGCCTGAATGTATGTTAGTGTATTATATGCATGCAGTGCTTGCAGAGGCCAAAAGAGGGCATTGAATTCCCTAGACCTGGAGTTACAAACAGATGTTATGAACTGGGATTCAAACACTGGGCCTCTGGAAGAGCAGCCAGTGTTTTTAACCACTGAGCCATCTCTCCAAGCCCTAGCCTACTTCTTCAGACTCTTCTAAATTTCTTGATAAACCAGTTTCAAAGGCTTATGTACTTATGATAGAATAGTTTTTAATTATCAACTTAACGCAATCTAGAGTTTGCTTAGGATGAAATTCTCAATGAGGGATTGTCTAGATAGGTTTGCCTATAGACACGTCTGTGGGGATTGTCTTGATTATGTTAATTGAGTTGTAAAGTCCTGCCCATTGTAGATGGCTTCATTTTCTAGGATCCTAGACTTTGTAAGCCTGGAGAGAGTGAGTACAAGCATGTATACGTTATTCTCTCTGTGCTGCTGACTGCAGATGTGACTAGCTGCCCCACACTCCTGCCAGCTTAACTTCCCTGCAATGATGGACTCGAATCTGGAACTGTGAGCCAAATAATAAAGGAAGAGAAGCTAAAACAGCAGGGTCTGGTCAGGGGCAGTCACAGCAACAATTCCACTTTCTGTGTTGGCTATGTCTTGTCCTGTGACAGAGCATCCAAGAGAACAGCTTAAGGGGAGAGGTATTGGCTCAGTTCTTAAAACAGTGATTGTTGTTTATTTATTGCGTTTTGTAGGCCAGGAATGGTTTTATTTGGGTTGGATTGGCTGGGCATAGGTACTGTAGAATGATCATATCTGGCAGTTAAGTAGATTGTTTTTTCTTAGGGGGTCTCAGTTAGAACAGCTCATTTTTGTTCCATTTGGTCTCACTGTCACATTCCTTTACATGATGGCATCAGGACTACAGACAGATACAAAAAAAAAGGCTAGCCCCAGTGAGGAGGCACCTGTCAAATTCTCTGCTTTTCATTTGCTAATTTTTATTCTTTCCCTTAAACATTACTTTTTAAAAAAATTTTTACTCCTTTATATTATCTATTAAGATTTGAATAATTATTATGCTATTATTTATAGGTACATTTTACTATTTTCTCTTTTCTTTTTTTTCTTTTCTTTTGAGACAAGGTAGCCCTGGCTGTCCTAGAATTCACTGTGTAGACCAGGCTGACCCTGAGTTCCCAGAACTTCACCTGCCTCTACCTCGTTAGTGCTGTGAATGAAGGCTTATTACTTATTAACAGTACAGGTTGAATACCCCTTATTGAAAATTTGAAGGACCAGAAGTGTTTTAGATTTTAGAGGGTTTGTGGGGCTTTGGAATACTTTCTTTTTTTTTTTTTTCTTTAATTTATTTTATTTTACAATACCATTCAGTTCTACATATCAGATATCAGCCACGGGTTCCCCTATTCTCCCCCCTCCTACCCCCTCCCCTTACCCCCAGTCCACCCCCCATTCCCACCTCCTCCAGAGCAAATCCTCCCCCGAGGACTGCGATCAACCTGGTAGACTCAGTCCAGGCAGGTCCAGTCCCTTCCTTCCAGACTGAGCCAAGTGTCCCTGCATAAGCTCCAGGTTTCAAACAGCCAACTCATTGGAATACTTTCATAAACTGCACTAGTTGAGCATTCCTAATGCAAAACCTTGAGATCCAAAATACTAAATCTGAAATTTTTCAGTCAGTGTCAATAACCAAAGATTTTAGATTTCATAGTTTGGGGATCAGGGATTCAAAAACTTGGCCAATTTAGAAAGAGTAAGGACAGGCACTTCCAAGAAGTGTTGTCGACTTGCCATGCCTTTCATTCCTGAACAAAATGCTGTTTCAGTCATACATACACTGGTTTGTTACTGCCCACATTTTTTCTCCTCTGTGTCATGCAAAGGCATGTTTCTACCCTTTGCTGTGATTTGCAGTGTTCTGGTAGGCATCATTTGAAGTCTTTCTCTTGGTTAGAAAATTCAACTGTCTCATGCTAGAACCAGTAGAACTCTTATGCAGATAGTCATATGAACTTTTGGCTTTGTGATGTTTTTCTGCCCTTCTGTGAGTACCTGAGGATGGCTTTGCTTATAGCATGTTGTTTATTCGATTAGAATGCTGCTCCACTCTCCATCCCATACCCTTCCCAGTCTATCTGGAAAACTTGCTAAACCCTCCAGTTTATTTCATCATTGTCTATGGAATATTCCCAGTCTTCCTCACCCTGGAAAATGAGGTAGTAACAGTGGAAAACAGTAGGCTGCCACTGTGTTTCCCTTTTTCCCAGCTATCTTCAACTAGGTGTGGCATTCATCAAATGCAATTCCGTGTTTCTTACTTCCTCTCCCTGCATTATCAGCTCTTTTGGGAGCTGTTTTTGCTCTTCATACTTTACAGCATGTTGGGCACATTGTGTTGCTGTGAATGGACATTGACTGAATGAAGAAGTTAAGGATGATTGATATAGTAGCTCTTCTACTTTTCTTCTCACTGTAATCAAAATACTTGGTAGAACCAAGTTCACAGAGGAGAAGCTTATTTAGGCTCATGGTTTTAAAGAGACTGCAGTTTGTCTTGGTTTGAGGAAGCTGGGGTGGGAATTGACTCAGCTCTGACGGCAGAAACTTGTGGCAGTGACTTATATCAGCATAGTTTTGAAAATGATGCAACATGAATGCACGGGTATTGTCCTTAGGCAAAAGCATCTAATCAGTATGTACCCAGGATCACAAAGGAAGTGCCATTATACTCAGCAGGAAGGCAGCTGGCCCTTATTGGACATAAGAAGGGAGAAGAACCTGTTGTGTGACCAGTTTTCTTGGGGAGACATAACACATGTCTACTCACCCCAGAAAAGGATCCCAAGATAGACTCAAGTATGGATATCACCAAAGTCCAATTAGTGAACCAGTGAGTTTTATTGGGGTCACTTACAGGAGCAGAAATGACTCAAGACAGCTGCATCACCAGGGCCCACCTTAGTAGCATGGATGAGAGCTCACAAAGCTGGGAGCCTGGAGCACACTGCACAGCCTTCAGGCAGCTCCACAGGTTGGAGAGTGTCCTTTCCAAGTGACTCTGCTCTAAACCCCTTCAGGCAGTGCAGCTGCTTTTGGTCTGCTCACAGAGCCTTGCAGCTTTTCCCCTTTGAGAGTCGTCTCTGCAACTCAGCTTCCTTCAGCTTCCTTCGTCTGACAGGGGCTCTTGGCGTTTACTGCTTCCTCTCCAAAGAAGGGTTTAGTGAATCTGGTCAGTTTCAGGGACTTCCTGAAAGCTATTTTGAGTTGTCACCCTTCCTGCTTAAAGAGCTTCCCTGTTGGGTGGAATATTTCAATCTTGGAGGAAAGTAGCCAAAGTGAGCCTTATATAGCAGTGTTGAAGACAGGCCTTGAAAGGGCCTGTTTTTAGACTCAGACTCCAGGTTGCACAAGGAAATAATTTGATCACAGGCACAGGGGTGAACAACGATGGAAAAGTCAAAGGTGTGCCACTGGTGGTGCCAGTAGCTGTCCTATGCATCCCACCTGGGCCCAAGGCAGAAAGTTTTGGTGAAATTCATATTCAGGTGTGGTTTCTACTTTTTTATTTTGACCAGCATTGAGCCCACCCTAGTACCAGTGTCACCAAACCAGCTCTGAGAAGTAAGTGCAGTTTTCAAAATCCTCATTCTCTTCAGCCTTTACATGTTGCTACATGGCATCGTTAAGGGATGTGGGGTACAGAAAAGTAGCAAATGCCCTCTGTGTTCTGGCTCTTGTGAGGACTCCAAACCCCACTTAATCTTGTGCTGTCTGCTTTCTAGAAGTTCAGGGTTCTGTAAGATTCCACTTACAGCCCCTTTGCCTTCTCTCTGAGTGTCTCTCCCCACTCTCATCCTTTTGTTGTTTGTTTGTTTGTTTGTTGTTTTTGTTTTTCGAGACAGGTTTTCTCTCTGTATAGCCCTAGCTATCCTGGAACTCAGAGATCTGCCTGCCTCTGCCTCTTGAGTGCTGGAATTAAAGGTGTGTGCCACCACTGCCTGGATCTTCTGTTAACCTTGAATACAATACCACCTGAGCATTTAGTCTCCTGTAATTAATTCACCAGATATCAAACTGGGTTAAATGATGAAGCTTTAAGTTTGTCAGCTATAGTTTATTACTATGATCCTATTATCATTTTCAAGTTTTTACATCAGGAAGAATCTTAGAAGATTAAGGGGGCAGCTATGCTCACACTGACTGGACCACCAACACAGACTCTCAAATTTATTGGTGACTTCAGGAGCTAACTGACAGTGTCATGTGATCAGTCATGAAATACTGCTCTATACCAGTAGTGAAGTTGGAGTCACATAGAATTCCTTGATTTAAGAGGATATTTTGGGTAAGATTTTTATTACAGACACCTGCCCCTACCTCCCACACCTCCTCTCCCCACCTTAGGATAGAACCAGGGTCTTATGCATGCTAGGCAACTGCTTACCCTTGAGAGCTACCCCCAGTCCTCTTCTGCTATTTACTAACTTCAGAGGGGACAATTAAATGTACATGATAGGCTTTTAAGATGTGGCCAAGCAAATGTAAGATGTTAGGAGATTCTGATGATCTTCTTCCGAGTTGGCAAAGGAGGTGTTACAGTTTAGTGATAGGCGACACTGTAGAAGTATGTGTAGTGAGCACCTTTAAACAGTACTAGTTCAATTATGGTAAGTTGCTCACAGTGCTTAGATTTGTGCTATGGCAGTATTTCACCTCTGACTCACCTATACCTTCAAAGTCCTTTGCACCAGACTGTTGCTACTAATTTCTCTAGTACTTAGCATAATACCTTATGTAGAGTAGATGTAAATAATTGTCTTTTGATATGGGACTGGGTGATCTTGCTGTCCTTTGCCATTCGGGCCTTGAACTCTGAGCCTCTTGCCTTAGATTTTTTCAGTATCTGGGATTTACAAGCATTCTCCATCAGACCAGCTGTTTTAATTATATTGAATTAGTTGGGCTTTTTTTTTTTTTTTTTTTTTTTTTTTAAGACAGAATTTCCCTGGAACTCACTCTGTAGACCAGGCTGCCCTCAAATTTACAGAGATCCTGCCTGCCTCTGCCTCCTAGAGTGCTGGGATTAAAGGTGTGAGCCACTACTGCCCAGCTGAATTGGTTTATTTTTAATCTACATTTGTAATTCATAGAGAATCAGTGCTAGCAAGCTTGAAATATTCTAGTATTTTGTGTGGTCCTTGCTGTAGCACAAATCCTAATTGGTCTTATAATAAAAACCCAGAGTCAGATATCAGGGTAAAAGCTGAAAGATCAGAGAAGCAGAGCAGCAGCCGCTAGAGTTCTTACCTCTACTGAATCCTAAGTCCAAAAGGGCTCTCAGCTTCTGTCTCCTCCTGCTTTATATTCCTCTTTCTGCCCAGCCATATTGCTTCCTGTCTCCACTTCCCTAGTGCTGGGATTAAAGGTGTGTGCCACTGCCTGGCCTCTATGGCTAACTAGTGGCTTAGCTCTGCACTCTGATCTTCAGGCAAGCTTTATTGTTAGATCACAAACAAAGTATCACCACACCTTGCAGTCTGTTTGATTGTTTTAGGGTGCATGTTGTACCTGGAAGACCATCTCTAGATGTGTCAGTGTGATTTGAACCTTAAAGAGCAGTTTCTCCTGAACACTCTTGCACTTAACTTCAAGGGCCATAGAAGGCTGCATTGAAGGTGTGTGGGAGCAGCCATACCACCACAGGCCCTCACACTCAACCTTGCTAACCCCATGAAGGCACCTCCTAGTGTTACTGGTTCTGCCTTAGTAGATTAAAAGATCATAATACTGAAACAAACTTAGAATTGCCATTTTGAATTTTTGAATGTTTGTCCCAAATACAGGATTTCTTAAGAGGAATAGTTTTACCTGGTGTGTCTCTATGATCTGTTTATTTTCACTTTTTGCGCATTGTGTGTTACTGTCTAAGGACTACTTAGCTGTTTTGATTGTAGGTGAAAGCCAACTCCAGCTTGCTGTGGGCTGTCAACTAACCTCACACCTGTCCGTGTTTGTTACTGCTTTTAATATCAGTTACAGAAATATGTGTGCACATGTGTGTGCAAACAATGGCAGGGTGGGGGAAGCCTCTTCCTAAAAGGAGAAAAGCAACTGCTTTTCTGTAGCGACCTCTCCACCCCCACCTCTTTACAGGCAGCCACAGTTAATCCCTCCAAGTTTGACTGGAACAGCTGAGAGCACGCCCTGCATATTTGCAGGCCTCCAGTGGACTCATGTTGCTCAGAGTTGGGGCCACCTTCCTCTTTTCTAGCTGACCCTGCCAGCTGTCCTAGCTCCTGTTAAAGCAGGAGGGGGCTGTGTGTTAAACGATACAAAACATACAGGATCATGAAAGGGACCCTTTATTGCATGTATTAGTGTGACTCTTTTCTGCCAGTTCTTTTCATGGCTGGGCTTTATGCCGTTAATCCTAACACCTGTCTCTGCCGGCGACAGTGAAGAGGGAGAGAGAGAGAGAGAGTGTGTGTGTGTGTGTGTGTGTGTGTGTGTGTGTGTGTGTGTGTGTGTGTGTGTGTGTGTGTACATGCACTCACATTCCCACCCAAGGGAGGGCTAGAGAAATAATACAGCTCCACTTGCCTCCCATGTCCTAGGCTGGGAGTATTCCCTTTGACACACAGCCTGGGACGTATTACTTGCTCTGGATACCTTGTGCTTCTGCCCTTGTTTGCCACTTTAAGGAGCCAGAGGTCTCTTCCCTGGCTGTCATCTTCTGCCTCTTGGCTTTCTGGTGGAGTTGTCGGCTAAAACCAGTCCCAAGTGCTGTACAGCTAACTCAGTTGGAGCAGTTTGCTTTTCTTTGAACATCTCTGGTGGATACTGCTGATTCCTATTGGTCTGAACCAAACTCCGACTTCACCAGCTGAGCCAGCACAACTAACTGAAGACTGGCAAGTAGGACAAGGATTTTTTTCTTTTCTTTTTTTTTTTTTTTGAGGGCTTCTAGGTCCCTTGGACAGGACACATCAGACAAGACAAAAACTTAAGGTGATTTTTGTGCTGTCCAGATCTGGAGTCTCTTTCCCTCTGCTATGTATGGTGTATATTGCATGGATTATCAATATCCTCTTGTCCAGGTAAGCTGGGATATGACTTGTTTCCCAAACACTTATTTAATTGACGTGAAAGTTTTATGATAGAAAAATACAGACTTTTTAACATTTGACTTTCTAACATTTGCCATTTGGGTAGATTTCTCAAGTTTTTTGTTTTTTGTGTTTGTTTTGCTAATTTGCTATAGCAAGAGATTTGATTTTAATAGTGGTGGGAACTGGACAGGAGTGGTTGGCTTTTCAGTTTTAGAAATTCTGTAGCTTCAGAGATTGAGGGGCAGAATAGGTTTGGCAGTATAAATGTAATATTTATATAATGCCACTATGATATAATAGACTTCAGGCTCTTTGGAGGCAACTGAGAGGTACAGGTAGCAGTCTCCAAGTGTTGCTGTGTTTTTCAGAAAGGTAATACATAATCAAGGCCATGCCTAAGCTATTTTAATTTGGTTTTAGCCCAGCATTTTCAATTATTTTGTGTTAGAATTAGTGACATTTTCGTTGTTAACTTGTTGAAACCCAGAACCAGAAAAGGTTAAGTCATTATAAAGCATATTACATTGTGTAACTGCCTTTCAGTTGGTAGCAGTATAGAGAGGGAGAGCAAATGGAAAAGAGTTCTGGATTCTGGCTCCCGCTGTGGTAGTTCTATGTATCCATGCTCGAATAACTTCATTTTTATTGATTGTTTGAATTTTGAATTACACATATTTCATGATCCTTAATTACTGTTCTTCCAGGTGCCATTTCTAATAACCAACACCTAAGTTACAGGTTGAGCAGAGATACCCAGGGTTAAAAAAAAAGATGTCCAGAATCTTACCCCAGCCACCTCCATTCCCTCAAGACCTTACTGGGAGTTTGGGGCCTGGTGGGTAAACTCCCTCTCAGGCCCCCAGTCCTGGAACCCTGCAGAGGTTGTGTTCTGTTTCTCTTTAACTGTGTCCTGACACGTTGATCTTGGCATTTTATGAGAAGTCCATAGCTATTTCCATGGTTTTTGATTTTTTAAATCAACTGCAAGTGTACATCACATTAGTCATGAGGTTTGCAGCATTTACAGATTTCATTTATCTGTGGACTATTTCTCCACTGACACATCAGGGTATTGGTCTTTCTACCTGCTTAAGACTGGACATGTCATGAGACTAGACTAGAAGCAAATCTTCTTACAAGTAAATACTGATGGGCCTCAATGAGACGCAGCTAGCAGTGACCAGAAGCATAAAATGGCTTAGTGGAAAAAAGTTCTCTTCAGACTATGATACAGTTGGATAAAAACTTTGGCAGTGAAACTTTGATTCTTTTGTGATAAGGTGAATTGATGTTCTAAATCTTTTTAGTCACTTAGATTTATTATTGTTTGGGGTTGGGGATTTAGCTCAGTGGTAAGGCCCTGGGTTCAGTCCTCAGCTCTGGGGGGAGAAATAGATTTATTATCGGTGAATACAGGGTTAGTATTTTAAACCGTACTTCCCGAGTCTTGCTCTGTTGGTAGGTTTATTCTGTCTAGCATTAAGATAGCTGAGAAATACAGGGAAAGGTGTTAGAACTAAAAGTGTTTTCTTCTATCTGCCACACCAGGAAATTAATGGGGTTGGGGAAAAAAAAATAAAAACAAAATCAGTTTTACGTGGAAGAATTAAAAGTTATTTTATGAAGATATTTATTAATTTTTTGATGGAACAGTTTCAGTGCATTTGTAAATGGATGATAAATGGTTGTTTGCTACACACTTTTCTTTTTTGTTTTTTGTGTGTGCTTTCTTTCTTTTCTTTTCCTTTCTTTCATCTAAGACAGGGTTTCCCTATGTAACTGTTCTGGCTGTTCTGGAACTCACTTTGCAGACCAGGCTGGCCTTGAACTCAAAGAGATCTGCCTGGCTCTGCCTCCCACGTACTAGAATTAAAGGCGCATGCTGCCACTGCTTTCTTTTGAAATCTATATTATATTATTATACTTGTTTTAATCAAAACCCATTGCATAATACTTGAAATCGTGTACCAGTGCATTATACAGTGAACACACTTAAGGACGTGACTGAATAGTATTTTTAAATAAAATTTATATCTTTTTAATTGAGTATTTCTAGAATTGCTAATGTTGAGATAATGAAAGAAAGTGAGTTCAACAGAAGGCAATAATGTATTTCACATACTTGACCTTTCATTACTCTTAATGTTAATAAAATAATGCCTGCCTAAGGCGTGCAATTGAAATTTATTATTTTATTAGTTATAATTCCTGTAGAACCCAATCTGTTTAAAAATACAGATAGGTTAAAAAGGATAGAGGCTTGCTAGAGAAGGGTTTAAGAGATACTGAGTTTCCTTGTCCAGAAAAAAGATATGAGAAGTTATACCTAAAGTAATTCTTTCTCCTAACCGGGCTGTGGTGGCACATATCTTTGCTCCGGGCACTTGGGAGGCAGAGGCAGGTGGATTTCTGTGAGTTTGAGGCCAGCCTGGTTACAAAGCAAGTTCCAGAACAGAACTATTACACAGAGAAACCCTGTCTCAAAACAACACCCCCCCCCCAATTCTTTCTCCTTTGTTTATTTAATTTGTTTATTTTTATTCTTCTAGACAGGATTGCACTATAAACTTGCTGTGTAGACCAGGCTGGCCTAAACATCAAGATCCATGTGCTTCTCCTTTCCTAGTTCTGGGGTTAACCAGGCCAGGTCCTTGACTAGATAGTTACACCACCGCCTTGACTAGATAGTTACATGTAGCTATTGTTGCAAATTAGGGGGATTATTTATTGTCACAGTTGTTCCTCAGTGAAAAAAAATGTTACAGACTACTGTCCTGTCACCCACTAGTAGTGAGGTGGTTAGAGGAAGAGGAAGCAGGGTCTTAAATCACTGGAGGCAACTAAATGTACTGATTGGATGGTTTAGGACAGCCAAGGGCAGCCCAAGGATGTTTGGCTGGCTTATGGAAGAATAAGACAAAGGTACCTATGCAAAAGATACTATTGATACTAAGATATGCTTGTATGTGCAAAGTACTAGAGCATGAATTAGTGCCTCTGCTTTGTAGTTCTCCAAGAAATGATGACGCTGACATATAGTGATACACACATTCCTTAATTTCTTATCCTGAGTTAGTTTATTGTACCTTTTTTTTAAGTACCTCCCATGTGCCAGACGTAGAGATACAGTGACAGCCAGCCCAGCATAGTCTCTAATAATTTAGTTTAGACACAAGGCATGTTTTAGTATTAGAAAAAGAGCACATTTTGGTTTTCAGTTTAATCATGTATTTTCTTGATAATTTAGTATTGACACATTTGTTTACATTGCACCCTTTTATTATTGATCTGAGAAATTTCTCTTTGTCATGGAAAATACAAAGAAGGGCA